AATAATTTGGTAGACCTTTTGGGATAAATGCAATCATACACTTTTAAGTATAGATCAAGGAGAATGGAGTGGTTTGGGCGGCTACCCCCCCCCCCCTCCCCCACTGATGCTAAGGCCAAAAAAATATGTAATAATTCCGGTTACCCTCGGGCCCTAGTTTGACAGTCCCTACCTTAATTTTTGTTGGTGGAAAAAATGAGGAAAAAAACCCCGAAAACCATCAATTCCTACCTTTTACCCTTTACTGTTTAAGTAGACACCTCCATATGATCGTACACAACAAAATTGCCCAAAGAACCCAAACAATTCCCTACCTACCTACCCTATTTTCAAATGCCGATCAGAAGCAGAACCATTTTTTTGGTGGCCTAATTATTGACATAAAAACAGTTTCCTAAAGTTTCCTAAAGTTCCCTGAATTCTGTCATCACTCAATATTGTTAATCTTAATTGACTGCTTCAGGCCTTTGATTTTTTTTTATACGTTGGGTTTCATGCCTCATCCCCCCCCCCCCCCCCCCCCCCCCCCTTGTGAAAAATTTAGTTCAAGACCCCAGTAAGCATTCATTAGAGATCCTGGATCCCCGATGCAGCCGACATGTACCTCTTACAAATTTCAATCACGAAGGAACACAAGTTTCACCTCATTTTGGGTACAAGAAGTTTACAGGTTTCAGATTTGGTCACTGCTCACCCACAGGGTATCTAAACACTTTCCAAAATTACAAAATGTAGGTCAGGCACAAGGTGTGCATAGCGTGCTTGATGCATGCCCAGCAGGCTTTACTTAACATTTGCAAGCCCAAATCCCACCTACATGTAATGTGCAAATATCATCAACGTTTACATGATTATATGCCTGCTTGGGTGCCTAGGTGATGGAAAGCAAGAAGATTACCCACGATGCATGCGTGCTACCTTTGGATCAGTAAAGGCCAATCCTTACTTATTTCTGATAAATTGGATTTTCTTAGTCAGAGCTTAGAAATCATGTACATGTACGTATACATGTACAATGTCATGTTGTACAGTATGGTACAGACGATGGACGCATACATGCATGAACAATGAAAATATCACTTGCATAAAAACTAATACTCTTTCCCAAATTCCCTTAAATATACATGTAGGCCTATACATTGTAATTTGATGAAATTACAGCCAAAAGTTGAAACTTTATAAAGTGTTTTATAAACTTTTTGTATTTTTATTTTTTCTTCTTAATTTTTCCACTTCTGTCAAAATTAAAGCAATTTGACTTTGTGAAAAAAGTTTTTTCCCCACCTGTACAAATTATGTAATAATAGCAAAATTTTACAGTTTACTGCAAAACTGAAACTTTCACAATATGACCTGCAATGCATACATTTTTGTTTGCTTTTTAAAATGGATTTCCTTGACTGCACATACATGTACTGGTATACATATGAAAGCATCCAGCTACATGAAAACAATAACAGCAGCTTCAAATTTAAAAGGCTAGAAACTTTAGTGTATTGCATTTTCAAATAATTTAGTACTGTACTTGATTATTTTACAACTTGATCAAATATTCAATTCCGATATTCAATTTTGTACCATTTTGGCTGATCAAATTGCACACTTTTCCAATCAAAGTTGCACTCATAAATGATACACAAATATATGTCCAACAAAGTGTGCCTTTACCATGGTGATTATTCCAACACACAATCTACCTGCATTTTGATTGGGAAGATCAGTACCATGCAGGATATTTTTGAGGGAAAATAATAAACAAATATTGAGTGGCTCAGCGTGGAATGGGAGGAATATTATCGCAAGGTAAAATCTGGACTTTTCCATTTCACGAGGCAAAGCCGAGTGAACTGGAAAAGTCCAGATTTTACCGAGCGATAATACCGAGCGATAATATTAAAGCCACTCAATATTTGTTTTATATAACTGACACATAGATCCTTGTCATTTGATATTTGAACTTTTATTTCAATAAAATTTGGAGGAAAATGTATTTCTCTCTTCCAAACCACCCCTTTACGAAAATGTTTGAACCCCACTCTGTAGCACTGACTCTTTGGAACAATACGCGCTACGCGCAATGCTGAACGCGCACACCAGCATGCATTTGCACACAAATACCGCATCATGGAACAAGAATGATCCTAACTGTTTAATAGTATTTCCCATTCCCCATGGGCGGATAGTACTTTTTGAGCCACGGCGTGAATGGGAGCAATAACGAATGTCACGTGATGTGAGTTCAAATAACAAGGATCTGTATGTCGGTTATATAATGTCAAATATTTGCCTGCTCTGAAGTAAGCCCCCTGCATCTGTCCGATCTCCTAGCTCAAACCACTTTGCATTTAAGTGTCTCTATGTCTCAACTTGTGGAGATGTGCATTTGGAAATTTTTGTAGGGAAAAATAAAGTGGAATCGCAATAATGGAAAATCCACCAACTTCGGGGGAAAAACGTGCCCGCCTCCTTCATTTTTCCAAAAAGCCCAGACGAGAAACTATTTTATTTATTAAGTTACTCAGCTGTAAAACATCCTGTAATGCAAGAAGTTACATTTGTGTAAAACATTCAGTGAACCCCCAAACTACAGGGCAGGGGTCTTAAAAAGTCAATGAAAGTAACTTAGGATAAAAATGTATTAGTCCAACCTCTGTCATGACTGTCAACACGTTATCAATATAACGGGGCCCTATACTAAACGATCGCCATCGTGTTCATGCCGTGGGGACATGCACATTGACAGCAACACCAGTGCATGCACATGCAGTCGAATCTACATGATGTATGTTGTGGGCTTTCTTGCAATTTGCGCAATCTTAAGAATGAGCGCGCATTCTTAAGAACGAGCACGCATTCTTAAGAATGAGCACGCAGTCTTTAGAATCAGCGCTCATTCTTAAGATTGCGTGGGCATATTATAAATTTTGCGCAATCTTAACAAACATTGCATGGCATAATTATGTTAAATTAAACTTATTGGGGTTAAAGGGGAAATAATTCATATAACGATATGCTGTGCTCGTTTAAATACGATAATTTGCATTAAATTAAAGCTGTTATTATAGCTTTTTTCCTGCCCCCATGGGAAGTTTTGTAATAACGGAGGACTGGGAACTAGTTTGGGAATAGCCCCACTTGTGTGGCCTCTGTATTGCTATGCTGTACGTTAGGCCACACATCTGGTTTCCCAATATACTGAGGAGTTTAATCCGAAACTTGCACATGAGGACTCCAGAAAGATGTCTACATTGCTCTAAAGGGAAAAGTTCCATACTCGGATGCCAATTTATCTGCTGCCAAACATATTAATTGTCACCTCACCTTGTCATTTGAACCAAGAGAAATCCAGGAAGCTGTGTTAAGGTGAAAAAAATTTACTCAAAATGTGTTTTTAGAGCACATTTTGGATGCATACGTCGTGCAGAACTAACTTGAAGCAGCCGGTCAAAACTGATTGTAGTGGCTGAATGACAGCGGTACGTTATACACGTGACATCAACAACCATGACGTCGCATGAGCCTGCCAATGATAGTGCAATACGTCATTATGAATATTTATTTTCTCATGAATATTTAGTTTATTTCAATGGATACTTCAAATACGTCCAAAGATTGATTATTGCAACAGCGATCGTGCGCGGCCTAGCGGTTAAGAAACTCGTGTGTCAAGCAAGCGTCAGAGGTTCGAATCCCGATGAAGTAACTGACTGATTAATAAATAGAAATTAAGGAAAGGAGAGGGTGAGAGTAGAGGAGGGAAAGTGGAGGAATAACCATAAAAGATGTAACTTTTGGCGCTAGAAAATTAATTGAAAAAAGTGACGTCCGAGTATGGAATTTTTTCCGCTCTAAAAATTGAAGAAAGATTACTTTATCTACCCGGAGGGCAAAAAATAAGACATCATAGAATACAACCGTATGCAGTGGTATGTAAAAAAAAATGCCAAAAAAAGGTGCGCCAGGCTTTGGACTAAACTCCTCAGTAAGTTGGGAAACCAGGCGTGTGGCCGAACGTACAGCCATGACAGCGCAGCAATACCGAGGCCACACAAGTGGGGCTGGTCTGGGACGTGCTGTGTTTAGTCTACACAAGTTACAAGTCCGTGCATCATATGCAAGCCAGGGCAGTTCGCGTATTTTTTTTGTGTGTGCAGCATACATCGTAATTTAACCAATCACATCACGCACCCTAACATGAATATGAATCTGTGTGGATGGATGACACTTAGGTTCTCTTAGTGTTTTCCCTTCAATTAATCTTATCCCAACCAACCAAAATATTTGAAAAAAATGGACATAGGTTCGAACCGATCCATTCCAATAATCATGATCCATTGACGATGAGTGTCCCGCAGAGGATAAAAACACAAGCAGATCTTCAACACGATTGCCCCCCCCCCCCCCCCCCCCCGCTTTTGTTATCCCAAAATCAGAATTCTATTTTTTTCCATTGCACCATTATGTCTCTTATTATTTCCCCCCAATTCGTCTTTTCCCTTGTGACCTTGCGTTGTATCAGACTATAATTATTTAAGTACAGCTCAAGAATCAGTGAACGAGGATGTAGCTAGACTCGCGGATGCAGCTAGACAAGACCGTTTTCTCGTTGCGCATTCTTAAGAATATGGGCTCTATCTGGAAAAGTTGTTTCTCGAAGATTGCGCAAGGATCCAGTTGCATAATCATAAGAAAGCGCTCAACATCTACATGTAGTAAGGAAACTGAACATGAATTTTGCCCGTGCATCAGCATCATGATCAATTGAATTGACAAATTAATTCACAATCACACTCACAGGCACAGCAACTGACAGTGACAATGTCAGTTGCTGTGCCTGACAAGTGACATGACTCATTTTTTGTCGTGAGTGAGTGAAACTGAAAGTGAAAACATTTTCAAACATTGCATGGACAATAAATGCTCCTACAGACCACTCCCACTAAAATGTACCGACAGTAAATTGTACTGGGACTGTGAATTTTGTCAAGAAAAAGGTTTACCTGAGTTAGAATTCTGCTCCATGATTCCGGATGTCCATATCGCTCGATGTGTAGACATGAATGATAGACTGCATGCACTGGGCCGGCTGGGCGCGCGCTTGTAAATAACAACATAACACAACGCTGGTTCTCAACCCTTTCACAGTGGAACGAACGCGTACGTACCGAGTACCAACTATTTTGGGACTTAGATTTCCACCAAGAGAGGGCGGCATACCAATTTTGTGTCAATTTTTTTTGTCATTTTCCCCCATTTCAATTCCAATCGACTGAGGGCGCTATGTTTTTACATAATTATATCACGCATGCACTGCGCAAATCGGGAAGAAACCGGTGTTCTGAATTCTGACTGTAAATCATCTTGACTGACATTGACAAATTTCAGGAACAATCAAAGATGAACTTGGCGAAAAACGCAACTACGGGTATGTTCGATATTACTAGATAGATCCATCATCTATGATTTATCCAAGTTTGATTCGAGAAGACACAGATTTCTGATTTTATTTAAGTTGAACTAGCCTACATGCATGACATGTAGCTAGCTAGGCCTACTCAATTACGTAATCAGCATCACTGGTTATGCCTACTGTACTTACACAAGTTTCCAACACGACAGGCTAGATCTTGCCATGCATCATGCCTACCTGGAACAAGTATGCGGAAAACTTTCCTCAACTAGTTTGTATAGGTTGGCGCGAACATCCAGGTCAGGAACTTCTGAAATCTCCTCATTCATTGTCATTTCGATTCTGTCACAGACCCGTTACAACTGACTTGAATTTTTTTTTTTATTGAGAAGGGCTTAATGGTAACACAGGATATAGCAACCAGTTTATGGATAGCCGCCATACCAGGGGTATGCAGTGAAGGAATATGTTACATTGCATTGTGGGACAGCTTGCACTGTAGACTGTGGACCTTCACTGTAGACTTCCGATTATCTGTAAAAAAAAGTGTAAGGCATTGTTATTTGACTCACTTTGAATGAGGATATTTCTTTGTCTACACAGTTGCTCTGGTTGAGAAGGATGATCGGCCGTGTGGTGTTCAGTTAGTTCACACTGACAGGACCAATGTAGCAGCTGACCCAATGGATCTGGTGGAGTTGGCCAGAGTCGTTCAGAAGGTACCCAAAACCCTCGCCAATTCTAAACCATAATGGCTTGGAATCAGATGCAAACCAGTCACAAGGAATGACCATTGCATGTCATGTTGGCTGGCAACTTGCTTTTGCTAAGCTATTATTTGTCTTGCTTGCCAAATTCCTGCATAGAACAGGTCCGTGAAATTGGCTCCTTGATTTGGAACTGTTGAGATTTGCCACTTGTATTTTACTAACTCTGTTTTGATATTTACATGTAGTTGCTGAACAGTGATCAAGCATGAAGATTCTCAAAACAAAAAGAATCCTGAAATCAAAAATTATTAGCAAATAATAAGAACTATAGAAAGCTTGTTTTCTAAATGACATTTTTGTCAAGTTGCATTCTTGTCAAATTTGTCTTTTATGAAATATGAATCCAATCTGAAATCAATGCCTTCTTTCTTTCAGGCAGATGAATTCACTCGAGCCAATGCCAGCAACAAACTCTTGACAATCGCTGAACAGATCCGCTACCTGCAGGAGCAAGCACGCACAGCCTTAGAAGACGCTAAGAGAGATAATGAGTTGCATCACGCAGCGTGTAACATCAAGAAACGACCCGGACAGACCTATTATCTCTACAAACGACAATCCGGTCAGAAGTACTTCTCCATTCTCTCACCTCAGGTGAGAAGTTGGGTCTATTTACTACAGGGAACTGATTGTGTTTAAATAAAATATCAAATGTTCTGGACCTGAGCTGTGGAATTCATTATAATACTTTTAAGCAAAAGCTAAAGTGTATCTTGAATGGATTGATTTTTATAAGGCTGGCTAACCTTTACAATGAATGATTCATACATGTAGCTCCTTAATTGTAACCATGTTTTTCTGTTTGTTGTAACTTGGCAAGCGTCACCTTTTTAAGTTTTGCCACCTCCAATGGCCTTTATTATGCCTTTAGGTTTTATTGTTATACGTACTTTCATTTTTGGCTTCAAGAAGAAATAAGAGTTTTGAATTGTAATTAAATTCTTATAAAAGGCCACATTTGTAATCAAGTCAGTCACAAGTGACCATAAGTCGTCACAAGTCATCACAAGTCGTCATAAGTCATCACAAGTTATCACAAGTCAACACAAGTCATCACAAGTAATCAAAGGTCATCGCATGTCATCACAAGTAATCACAAGTCATCACAAGTCATCACAAGTCATCACGTCATCACAAGTAATCACAAGTCATCACAAGTCATCACATGTCATCACAAGTAATCACAGGTCATAGCAAGTCATCACAAGTCATCACAAGTCATCACAAGTCATCACAAGTCATCAAAAGTTCTTCAGTCTCAAAGGAACTGAACCAAGGCATTCATCTGCCATTGTTCATCTGATTCACTTGTTAGGCAGTTACTTGTGACCTGACTTGTACATTGACTCCTGAATTTACTTGTGATTGAGTTGAGATTGACTTAATTATGGATCTGCATTAGACAATCATCACCTAAGCAATTCAAGTTTGTTTCCCAGTGTAAAATAATGGCTTTCTGCATCTTCCTTGTCTTACAGGAGTGGGGTAAGAGCTGTCCACATGAGTACATTGCCTGCTACCGTCTAGAACATGACATGTCTTGGACTCCAGAGGAAGATATGAAGAGACGTAGTCAGGAGATAGGATTGATTGATCAATTGCTGACCTCCCAGGCCAGTCTGACCTGTAACCCTTATCCTAACTTCCAGGGACTTCTTCAAGTCAAAGATTCTAAGATGGCACAGAAACAGGGCGTAAGGACTGAAAACAATAACTGAGTCATGTCTTGATATCTTTGTTCAAGTTAAGTCCATCACAAGTCCTTTACAATTCAAGCCATTCACAATGCAGCGCGCCACCAAGAGTTTGCCATGGAGAGTCCATTTTTCAAGTTTACGGTCGACAAAACACGGCCCATTTGAATGACTGTCAGTAGACAACTGGAGCTAATTTGTTATAGATTGGGCCATAGCGTTCTTCCGCCTTACAGAAAACAGCATATTGATAAAAAGAAAAGGGCACTATACTTGATCATACCCTTACAAAACTACAGGCTGGAAAACTAACAATTTCAAATGTCCTGCGCTGTTAATTTGTCCACCATCTCCCACAATGCACTGGGAAAAATGAACTCTCCGTGACAAACTCTTGGTAGGTGCACTGCATTGTGAATCGCCCAAATTCCGGTCCAAAGTACAGTCCAGGCATGCAACTTTTCCTCGGATCAGCTGATTTCCTCTTTTTTTACTTCCCATGTGTGCCATTGAAGGTAGAAAAATACTGTACAAAGTCTGGGAAAGATTTGAATTTCCTTTTTTGTGTGTGACTTTCAGTTGCATGCCTGACAGTCAGTCACAAGTCATCTCACAAAATCCCGTCACAATTTGATTGACTTGAGTCTGGAGGATTTGTGATGGACTCGACTATATGTTTACAACACTGCCTGGCATTCTCATAATCTCGACTCAGCTGTAATCCGTTGCAGTGTTCCAGCTTGCTATAAACTGGGTGTACTATCTGATGCTTCATTTCAACATGTTCAAGAAGGAGAAATGTTATGAACTGGCAAAATAATCTCCAAATGGGCGCATGAATTGGATAATGAAATCTGCATGTATGATTGTGATCACTCTATAAAATTGCCCTTCACGTGTTATTTATAGGAAAGGGAAAGGAATAAACTTTACTTCTACTTTTTGTTTTTCCTCTTACATATACATGCAGCTGTGGATGAAAATACCCCAGCTGACTTAAAGATATATTCAAATCTTAAATTTGATATTGGTTGATGAAAGACAGCTTGAACGTAAAGTCACTTTTATGACTTGAGTAAAAGGTATTACTGCAATGAATATCCTATTGAGGTGTGTATTCAAGGTATGAAACAACTTAATTTAACATATCAACCTTTAATCCTTTTAATCATTTTATTTTGTAAACAAAATCTTCCGTGGTGATGTTTTCTTATATTTATAATTTTAAACATCAATGAAATGTAGAACAAGTCTTAACTTAAATTAAAGGATGCAGAATTATCACACTACACTTTACTCAGTGTTAATCTGGTATCAAGGTGAATGCAAAACAATTATGGTCGGCTAAACTGGGGGTGCCTACAAGTGTGGAAGTGTCCCAATGATGTGAATACTACAATCCTAAGTTGTCGATGAAATTTGCAATTTTATTTTGTGATTCTTTTGGTGATAAACTGTAACTAAGAATTTCCAAATTGCAATGATTAGAGAGAAAAGCTCACCAATAAGAATGGCTTTTCAAAGAGTTAGAGATGTTGTTGTTTGAAGTATATCCACTATTAGTTTGAATAATGTGGGCTTGCATCCTAATTAAGGCATATTGATGAGGTTTTTTGTGTTGTAATGTCCTTAACCTAATTTGGTCCTTTGTTTTGTAATCGTTTTAATAATTCTTTGTTTGACATTTTCTTCTAAAAGCACTTGAGCTAACTAGTACTTGGACTGACTTTGTTTCAGGTAATAAGTGTCGTTTAGTAAATATAAAAAATGTATATAACAACCCTTAATTTATAAATATCGTTTTAAATCAAACTTTTAATGAGAATAAGATCGGTTTCAAAATAAACTGAATATCTGCGTGATTGAAAAATGGTTTCTGACATGTTAATATTTTCTTCTATGTTTGTGTATGTGCTTGTGCTTTTGTTTAACCTTTCTGAAAATGTGTCAGCCCCTACGTTAATCCTTGACACATACACTATTTCTACATCATACATATTCCACAGTGAATGGTTCTTTCATTCAATTGTACGCTTGTCTGTGCATGCGCAGGACGGGTGCGCATTACATCAAGACGCAGTGAAGTGCGTACTGCTGATTGGTCAAGGCTAGCGTGTTATATAAAACCCAGCAATATAAACTGTCATGTCTTCGCCTGGCGGCATTGCGCACATCCACGAGGTGAACACGCCAACCCCCCCCCAAAAAAAAAACCCCACCCCAACATGACATGGAAAACGGGGACAGTCATGTTTACAAGTTCCCGAAATGTGCTTATGAACATACATGTGTGGTTTTTTCCGTAGCAAAGTATAGAAGAGTAGCATAAAATGCATTTCTATAAATAGGGACTCTGTGAGACATGATTCAATCGGAATCTACCAACACAAGCACTCCCAATCCTAACACAGCCTATTTAAGGAGCAGCATGTCAGGCGCGGATCCAGAGGGGGGAGGGGGGTCAACCCCCTCCCCAAGCACTGTCCAAAAAAAAAAAAAATTATCATACAAATTCCTAAAAAATAAGTCGACCCCCCCCCCCACCCCCTGTGACACCCCCCAAAAAATTATACTGGTATAATGTCCGCATGTTCAAAATACAGTACACCATTCTGTAATCTAGTGTTAATAATCGTCGAATTTGAACAGCGCCCCCTATTGAAATATGGTACCAGCCGCCGCCTGGACTACAACTGACAGCAGGACTTGAAACTGACTTGCAAGCTTGCAGCGGGGGAATATTGTCAAGACGCTCACCTCGGCATCGGTAGCCAGGAAGAACACAGCTGCATCAACAGTATAAGCTTCTTAACATTTACGGCCGACACCCCCCCACACCCTGAAAAATGCACGGCTGATTGTTTTAATATTTTATGAAATATTGTAGCGTGCCGAGGGGGAGGGTGGCGACTATAATCTTCTTAAAAATTCCGGACAAACTTACAAACTTCATCAAGGAAATAAAAGTTGAAAAATCTTTGATGGAAGCTCCCTTTTGATATTTTTTAAATTAAATTAGTTTCTAAATGCACATTGGGATTTCACAAATATAAAAAAAAATGTGTTTGATTTAAGTTAAATTAAAAGAGTATCCCGAGTTAGAAGAGTGAAGCTCCTGGCCTCTTAATTTTTAGAGAAAATTACTCACTTAATTAAATTACTGTGAAGGTGCAAATTAATAAATACAAATCACAACAAATTATAGGCCGGCAAAATTCAATCAAAACCAAATTTCACTTCTCATTTTAAAACATTAACAGTTACAATTTGAAGGTGTGCGACCACCCAGACCGGAAAATACCAGTTACAAAACAATAATGCAAACATTTGACTCGTCTACACATGTACAACACCCAGCTGCTGGCAAGAACCTATGAAAATGGGATTAATCCCCATTTAACAAAATATCTGAGTGAAATTCCAAGCCTTGCCCAGATTTGCATAAACCAAAAATGTTGGCTAATGAGGAATGCACAAACAAAATCACAAATTCCACAATAGCCAAAAAGAAATGTTCCAGGAGAATCTCTCAAAATTAACAGCCAGGTAGGCTTTCCATGTACAATGATGTACACGCACTCACATACAATAATTGTCAAAAATTAACCGGACTAGTTCTCGCCAGCAAAACCTGTGAAAATATCAGCCATCCATTTTAATCCCCCTAAATCCCATGTCAAGGAGTTGCAAAACACCCTTAAGCGACTTCAAAACTGACTTTTGTCCCAAACTTAATCAAGAATTCAGGAACAATAAGACCGGGCCAACATGGCCACCATGTCACGCCGACACACCCAGGCCCTACCACACAGCCCTAAAAAATATTCGTCCAAAATACAACAAAATCCTCAAAAATATACCTCAATAATATAAGGGAAAGGCTATACATCGAGAACATTACTCCGTCCCATGTTCCAGCCAGACTGAACGTAACGCGGGAGTTTTAAAATAGCCAGTTCTTGTACAGACTATAGGATTACCTTACTTTGTGAGTTATTTCCCTTTTTCACCTATCGTTCAAACTCTGATTATTATAATGACAGACAGAAACTAGTAAGTTGGTCTGAAGGTGACGAAAGAACACCATGTGTGAGTGACTTTTTAAAACGTACAGGATTCAAAATTCAGATCAACTTGTATCAAAACAATTTAAGACTTTTGATTTACCCTAAACAGCTCTGCATTTGTACAAAACTGCGCAATTCACAATTAATAAAACATTGGCAAAGGATGCTACAAGGAAAGTATTCTCGATTTGCATTAAACATAAGCTTTCAATACGGAGGACTAAACTAAAGTGACCTTTTCAAAGCATTTCAATCTATAAAATCAAAGTGATTTTCACCCTTAATCGTCTTGTCCATAGTTCATCCTTTTAGTAATTAGAGGCTACTTGGTAGAAACATGGTAGATATTAATATGGCAGATATGATTAATGTCGACTAATTGTTAACGTTCCGGTACTGACTGACTCCATTTGTTCCACGAACTGGGTTCGGTGCATCGTCTGGTCGCGGATAGTCGTACTCCAGACTCCCGTTTCCCTCACTGAGAGCTAGGTAGTAGACATGCTGGGTCGCTTCACTTGCCGGCAGCGCGGAGGAATGTTGCCCGGCTGGTGTCCCGTTGGTCGTCAGTCCCATGTACGGACTGCGTACCTCACCGGTGGGTTGTAACCCCATGTACGGTTCAACTCTGGGTGTCGGGGTTTCATCCTTATCTGTGCTCTTGCGATGTTTGAGGATGCAGTAAACGTTAATGATGACTGAGGGTAGGAGTAGACCGAGGAGCGCGGCAGTCGAAGCAATCCATGGAGTAAGAGACTGACAATCATCACAAGTCGGCATCGGAGCTGATGCAGGCCTAGTCGAGGGCGGAATCTCGGTGGTAGGTCGAGGCATGACCTAGCTGTCAAAACTGCACCGTCTGTACCCTTCACCCGGCAGAAGTACGAACCAGAGTCATGTTTATCAACATCACCGATGACAAGAATTTCCTCTCTGGTTGTAAAATCTATAGACTGGAGGGAGATGATAAATCGGGGGTTACGGACTACCCCGTTATTGGACAATATCTCCTCGGCATGAGCTGTAAGCACCAGTCTTGCCCACTCCATCACGTAGCCAGCCTGTAGGTCAGTAGCACGGCAAAACAGTTGAACTGCATCACCCATGACCGGATTACCATCGGGTTGTGATCGGTACAAGTTTAAGGTGCCCACTCCATTGACGACAGGGAATCCACCGAACCACCCAACACAGCACAGAACGGACAACACCACACAAGACAATTTACCCATGGTCAATTTCTTCAAGTTGCAACTGCGGGAGCGACAGTGCCCATACCTCTGTGGGTACAAGACACCGA